GTAAGGTAAGGTTTTAGAACTGTAAAGAAGGCGACGTGAGTCCTTGTGCAGTGGAGAGTGAAAAAGAAAACCCCGTCCAGGATCTAAAAATAGCCATGGCTAAATAACATTGCTAGTAAAACAAGTCATATTATGAGCAAATTGAGTGATTTACATCAGAAAACAACTGCCAATCCGGAGCTTGCTGTATGAATCCTCTCAGCCTGGAGCGGTGGTAAATCGATCAGCAGTTGACTGTGAGTTCTTTGTGAATGATTCATCAGTTGCAGGTTGGCAAAGTGGTAATTAAGATTTCCGTCTTACCGGGAAGATTTCAGATGCGGTAATCTGAAGGTCGCGGGATCGCATCCTGGTGTGGAAACTTTTTCTGTTTTCTTTCGTGTTATTAACGTGTACTTTGCGTTTACATAAAAGCTGTGGAAAAAAAAATTCAGTCATAATAGTAATGTAATGAGATAAGGAAACGAGCCAGTATGTGATGACATTTGAATTAATTCGCAGAGGAAAAACACTTTAGAGAGTGAAACCCTCACTCATGAGTTTTAGCAACGCTTTGGTTAAAAGCTCTCAAAGCTATCGATGAATCAAATTATACACCCACTTTTGTTACGTATGAAACAGCCTTTAATTTGGGAGCACTTCAGCTCAACTCCAAGTTTGAAAGATCAATTCACCGCTTTCGCAGCCACTTTGTTCACAGTAGTCGGGCAAATATCCCGCCCTCTTGCGAAATATACTGGTCAGCAGAATATACAACCCATCGACTGACTGACTAACCGAAGGAGAGAGCGAGCGAGTGAACTAATTCTTCCCCAACTAGCTGCTACAAAATCTTTCTAGTTATGCTATCACTGGTTGAGAATGATACATCTGCACAACGGCTCTTGATCGAAACTTAACTTTCGTCCTCAGGCATGGAAACAACTTCCTGTTACGCTTTAGCGCCTAGTTATAGGTCGTTTTCACGTGAGGTCATCATTTTCTAAAATCCAAAACTAAAGAGCAACCAAAGTTTTTATCCTCGTCAGGCATAAGAGGCGGTAAATTCATATTACTTGACAATTTTACAGGTTAATGGCGTGCTTTGTTTAGAAACCAGTGCATTTTGAATTTCAGAGTTACGGCGGTGCGTGACACAAAGCTACGATCGCGTTTGTC